GAGGGACTGAGACTTCCGCCCACCTGGATGCAGAAGGCCACCCAAACTGGTCATTTAAGAACTGAGCCTGGTGCCCCTTCCAGCCCTCCCGCTCAGATCTTTTCCTGTCCCCTATTAGCACCAGCATCTCCAGCTAGGGCCCCGCCCCTCCTGACCTCCCCTCCCCTGGCTCTTACTGAGTAGGTGATTGCGTCTTTGAGTCTCTACTGTCATTAAAATTGACTCTGTCTCTCAGTTTGCCTTCTCATCTTTGCTTCCTTGCATCTGCTACCTGGTGCAAGCATCTAGGTTCTTGCAGACCCCCCCCCCATTCCGAGCATCCTGCTGCTCTGCTGAAAGGCCACCTTGTTCCCTTGGGTTTCTACACCGAACCCTGCCCTCTTCGGGCCCAGGTCCCTCCTCCCCAGGGAGCTCCTACTTATTCTGCCTCCCTGCTTAATGCTCAGATCCTGCAGTGCCCACCCCGTCAGAACTCGGTCTCCATCTGCTGTGATTTCCGAGAGAGAGAGATGAGGGGAGTGGAGCAAGATCAGGGCTCACACTTGTACTGTGTGCCATCCATCTGAGGCTTTAAACTCCCCTCAGCACCAAGCAGGGTCCCCCCAGTCAGTGGTAAAGGGAGAAAGTCCAGCAGTGTTTCATGCATGGAATCGTTCACGAGATGGTTGAACGGCACCCGTCGTGAGTCATGATTTGCAGGGTAATTCTGAGCTTAACCCTTCCCTCGATACTTCCCACGGGATGGAGCGGCCCATCCTGGTGCCTTCTGAAGCGCTCACTGAGCACTCGCTGACAGCCTAAGCACACTGACGCCAGTTCCACTGCTTTCCCCTGGAAGACTGCTGTCCCTACTCCGAGCCAAGGGGCCGGCTCCCAGTAGGAAAGCTGAGGTCCTTTCTGCTCAGGCAGGGAAAGCCATGGAAGGGCATCCATCCAGGTGAAGGAGGGAGCCCAGGCGGTCGGTAGGCTGGGGAGCAGGAAGGAGAGGCAGAAATAACCTGGAGTCTCTGGAATGGTTAGAGTTAGGGTGGGCAAGGAGGGTTATTCTAAAGACTCAGAGGACGGCAGCTTAGGGAAATAATGCACTGCAGTCACCTCAAGAGAAATGTTTGGCTCAGTGTGCAAGATGGAAAATCTCGGACCCCAGGAAATAGAAACAGCTTTAAGGAGCAAAAAAGCTGTGATAGAAGGCCCTAGAATAAATAGTGGGGCAAGGGGCAGGAGGAAATCAGAATTGCCAGAAACTCAAAGTGACAACAGAGAAATAAAATTTGCATGGGAGGCAGTAAACCCCCGAAGTGACATGGGGAATTGACAGAGTGGTGTGGAGAAAACACTTCACAAGCCATTTAATATATGCAGAAAGACCCGGAGATGAAACAGCACAGGGGAGAAGTCCTGGAAACCAAAACAGGCAGAGGTAATCCCTTTGGAAATAAAGATGACCCCCCTGAAGTGGAAACAGGACAGCCCTCACCATGCCCTCCATGGAGACCTGTGGGTGGCTAGAGCACTCCCTCATCGGGAAGAAGCAGTCACAGAGATCTGTGCTTACCCATGCCAGGAAGCAACCTGAGAGCCACCAGAAATGAAAACCCAACTATCCAGGCAGGAGAGCCTCCAGCTCCCCAAGCAGAAGGGGCCCAAACCCTGCGCCCTCTGCAACCCTGAATTCCAAAAAGCAGGGAGAAATGCTTCCATCACCAGACTGGTTGGTTGGTTTATTTTTAATGTATGAGCTTCTGTCACCAAACCAACCTAACAAGAGCAAATGTGACACAGCACAAAGTACAGCCAGGATGGGAGTTGGTTCCATGGTGTGGTCTTCAGCTGCTCCTCATTCAGTCCCCTCCTGCAGACTTTCCCTCCCCTGGAGTTCAGGGACCTATCCCAAGAGAAAGCTCAAAGTGACAGCCTGGTGGCCTCTTTTCCATCGCCGCTGTGTTCAGAGTGGCCTCTTTGATGCCATTTGTCTTTGTTCTTTCTACAAAACCACAGCCACCCAAACTTTTCAAAATTTTTTTTGTGGTACTAGGGCTTGAACTCAGGGGCTACACTTGAACCACTCCACCACCCCTTGTTTGTGAAGGGTTTTTTTGAGATTTGGTCTCATGAACTATTTGCCCAGAGTTGGCTTCGAACCAAGATCTTCCTGATTTCTGTCTCCTGAGTAGCTGGGATTACAGGCATGAGCCACCTGCACCTGACTTTTCAACTTTTCAATGCTAAGCAATTGAAAGAATTATGCAATTTTAAAGCAGTAACAGAGTCACTGGTTTCTTTCAAAGAGACATACTCTATAAAGAAGAAAAGAAGTGTCCTTCTTTCTCGAAGGACAGAAGGACCTGTAGTGTGGGACCAGGGCATGGGAAATGTCTTTGCTCTGGGCTGGCTTCATTGTTAACCAATTCCTGAAGAGGGACACAGCCCCTCTGGGAATTGAGGTGTGTGTGCATTTCTTACATTACCTAAGGTTTTTTGTTTGTTTGTTTTTTGGTGGGGGGAGTTTCCTGAGGCCCAGGCACAAAACTTTTCCATTTTCTCTGAGTGGCTGGGCTTCCCAAAGAAAGGGAAGCATCTGGAAGTGCCTGGATTCCCCCACCCTGCCTAAGGACTGGGAATTCTTTACAGCTGGGCAGGAGGAAGGTTTTGGCTGTAAAGCATCATGCACTGTATGTAGCCTTCCTTGAAAAGACTGAGGTCAAGAAGCTGGTCCCAAGAACCTGGGGGAAAATCACCCACAGAAGGTGGGGACAACAGTTAGGACATGAAAGTTAGGTGACACTACAAAAGTGGCCTCAGTCAGTAACTTCCTACTCTTATCTCCTACTTGGGGATTCTGCCCTTCAATACTTGGGAAATTCTAGAGTTTAGAAATATGGCGCATGTTAGAAATTTGACATTCCTTTCTCATTTGGCTGTGTCCCCTTGGTTCAGAACACAGAGGCGAAGCGATCTAGGAAGTCCAGTCTCCATGAACTTCCAGGACCACGCAGCAACCAGAGCGCCAGGCGCCAGCTCCAGTCCTCACCTTAAAGGCGCAGAGGAAAAACTGTCTCATTCCAGCGCTTGCGGTTAGAGACCTTCAATCATTTTGGGCCCACCCTCCTTCTGCTCCTCCCCCCCCCCCGCCCTCCTCTTGGACCCTTTCTTGTACGATTAGAGGCTCCGGGGTGGTGGTGGGGGGGGGCAGTCTCAGACCACAGATTCTCTCAGGAAAGGTATTGACGCGCCCGCACGCTCAGCCTGGAAGGCCACCGCGCGATAGGCCGGCGGGCAGGAGTCTCAGGAGGGTCCGGGTGTCCGACACAAATGAGGCCCTTTTGGTGTCTCCATGCAGAAGGGAACGTCCCCTAGGGTCAGCCTCCTGGGAATTTCCATACATCCTAGACAACAAAAGAAAGCGAGCCTGGCTGACAGCTAGGAGGTGCCTCCCACCCTCCACCCGCTTCCCTACTTGTCAGTTTCAAGTTGGAAAGGGGCGGAAAGGAGCCCTGGGAGGTTCTTACTCCAGTCCGCGGGCACCTTTTCCCGGGCTGGGCCCTGGGAGACTCTCCCAAAAGTCAGAGGCAGGTCGGGCCCCCGTCTGCTTCCCACCCCCCAAAACGAGCCCAGCCAGCTCCAGGGAGGGAGGGTCGTGTAGCTTCCACGGCCGCGGGAGAGCCCCCTTGTTGGGGCGCACCAGGGCTGTCGGAACCAGGTCCTACACCTGGTGTATTAGCTTCTTCCAGGGATCATGGGGGTGGCATGCGCGAGGAAGACAGGGAAACTGAGGCTGGAACACAGACCCTTGTTAAAGTGCTGGGCGAGATGCTCAGAGCGCAAGGCTGAACTTTGGCTTGGAGCTTTTGCTTCCTTCCCCTTCCTGGGCTCCCGTTTTACAGGAATGCTATTGTTTAAAGAGACCCTATTGAACTATTTCCTGCTCATTGTCACCTTCCTTGCTCTCCCCGCGGAGCTTCTCACCGAAAGGTAATAAACCAACTGCTGCCGACACCGCTTGGCGCTGAGGCGGTGGGGAAACGCGCCCACCTTCCGCAAAAACAATCCCAAGACGAAAGGAGCCAAGCACACTCGGGGCCACACTCGGCGCGACTTCATCATCAAGTCCTGTTTTTATGTGGGGAGCAAGGAAACCTCCCAGAAGGATCGTTTTATTTCCGTCTAGTTCCCTTTCTGGGCAGAGCGCGCGCGGGCTTCCCTTTCCAGACAGATGAGGGCCGCGGGGAGCAGGACGCCGGGGTCCGCTAATCCGCGGTGGTAGGAGTTTAGTGGTGCTACCTGAGGCTGAGGACGTGCCGGGACAGGTGTACCGAAGTTGCCTGACCCGAGGGCTGAGGCTTCGGAGAGGCCAGCAGGACCGTGGCGAGGCGGACACGGACACGGCGCGCCCACAGCCTGACTCTGCGCGTTGCACCGGGGCGTCTTTGGCTGAGGCGCAGGTGCGCGCGGCGACGGGCACCCCAGGCTGGCAATGAGGCGGGATCTGGAGAGCGAAGGGCACCGCGGGCCGGGGCGGACTCCGGCGACCCGCTCCCCTCCTTCCTCCAGGGCCCGCCGGGCCGCCCCGCGGCTTTGATGGAGGAGCAAACGTTTGGGAGAGGGCGGGGGTGTTGGGAATGGGCCGGGGCGCGGAGCGCTGAAGCCTGGGACTTACAGGAAACAGGCGCGGGAGCCCATTGTTGGCCCCGGGCCTCTCGGACCCGCCCGGCCAGGTCTGATATGGCCGCGCGCGGCCAATGGGCAGCTGCCTGGCACTTCAAAGGCTGCGCGGCCCAATCCGTCGCGCCCCCTTCGCGGCCGCCGCGCTCTATTTATGGGGAGGGGACTCATTTTCTTTCCCCAGAGACCGACTCTAGTCACGCCTTGCAGGAGTTCAAGTGGAATTACCTCTCCCCCATTCCCTCTTCCCCCACCCCTGCCCCCTTCCCCCCACATCCCGGTCCTGGTCCTTCTTCGTGTCTGCGCTGGGACGCGGGTGCGGTCCTGGGTCTCGACCCGAGCGACTCCTTTTCTTGGAAAAGCGGCGGGAAGAGGGGCGAAGGTGGCTGTGGGGTAGCGAGTCGCGGCTCGGGGGCGCCGGGGAGGGGCGGGCGGGAGGATGAGCTCCCCCGGCCCGGAGGGCGCAGGGAAGAGCCTGCAGTACCGAGTGGACCACCTGTTGAGCGCCGTGGAGAGCGAGCTGCAGGCGGGCAGCGAGAAGGGCGACCCCACGGAGCGCGAGCTTCGCGTGGGCCTGGAGGAGAGCGACTTGTGGCTGCGTTTCAAGGAGCTCACGAACGAGATGATCGTGACCAAGAACGGCAGGTAGGTGCGCGCTGCGAGTCGGCGGCCTGGGACCTTTGGAGGGCCTCACTGTGGGGCGCTTTTTCTCCAAAAGGAGGACTTTCTTGTGCGTTTCCGCTGGGGTTGTTAACAGCCACTAGTGGATTCCCAACCGTCACCCCCCCCCCCGGTTCTTCTCTGCGGAAGCTTGGGAAGGAGGCACTGGAGCCCCAGGGTTCCCATCTCTAACTTCGGAGGCGCCTCCAGGACCCGCGAGGCGCGCCTGATCCACGCTTGCCGGGCGGGATTTGGCCGGCGGCGCTATATCCTCTTCACTTCCTCTGGAAGCGAGGGGAAAGCGTGAAGGCCACCTAGGCTCGGGGCTCGGGAGAGGTTAGGGAAATGCAGAACCTGGGAGACCCTTCGGAAGTTTCCAAGGGGGCCCCTCTTTGCCCGAAATCAGCCCGTCTCGGCCAGGCTTCAGGCCTGCAGTCTGATGAGTCAAATCCGGAGTCCGCCTGCTGTGCCCTCTCTTTCCCAGGAGGATGTTCCCGGTGCTGAAGGTGAACGTGTCGGGCCTGGACCCCAACGCCATGTACTCCTTTCTGCTGGACTTCGTGGCGGCTGACAACCATCGCTGGAAATACGTGAATGGGGAGTGGGTCCCCGGGGGCAAGCCCGAGCCACAGGCGCCCAGCTGCGTCTACATCCACCCCGACTCGCCAAACTTCGGGGCCCACTGGATGAAGGCGCCTGTCTCCTTCAGCAAAGTCAAGCTCACCAACAAGCTCAACGGAGGGGGCCAGGTAAGTGGTGCAGCCGGAAAGGGCTAGGACCGCGCGAGGATGCGCCCCCGACGCCCCTTCTGTGCGGGATTCTTGGAAGCGGAGCCGCTGGGCGGGAGGGAGGGACCTCGGCCAGTCGGACCTGGAGAAACAGCCACAATCTTTCCCCCATTAAATCGTCACCGCTGTTTATATTGAGCTAATGAATGTCACACCGAGGCCCAGAGAAGGGCAGTGAGAACCGGGAGCTGGGATGAGGTGTCTCCTAAGGTAGCCAAGAGATGGGCTTTGGTGGGAAACCACACGTTAAATCTAGACGTACGCGCATAATACTGTACGAAGTCGGAACGAGCTTGTAAATCCCACCTTTTCTTATGAACAGTCTTTAGCCGGGGATTGAACCTGCCAACGGTAAAGAAGCCAGGCTTCTCAAGAAGCCACCGCTGTCCTTGGAGGCTCAGTCCTTTCCTGCTGGGTTGAGGAGTTTTGCGGGGGCATTCCCTGTTTTCTATGATGCGGGGCACCTCACATCCCTTTTCCAGGCCAGCTGGGTCAAATGTTGAGAGTTGTCGCCTGAGGACCTCACCTCCCTGACTGTACAGATGTCTCCGCGGATGGGGACTTTTTCCAGCTTGGATGGATCCCTTTTCTTCCTCTAGAGCAGGTCAAATGGACGTTTTGTCGTCCCGAGAAGGGACGCGGAGGCACCCACTCTGTATGTGTCTCCCGCAGATCATGTTGAACTCCTTGCATAAATACGAGCCTCGGATCCACATAGTGAGGGTTGGGGGCCCACAGCGAATGATCAGCAGTCACTGCTTCCCGGAGACGCAGTTCATCGCGGTGACTGCGTACCAGAACGAAGAGGTGAGACAGCCAGGGAGGGAAAGAAGGCGGGAGGGAAAGAAGGCGGGAGGGAACCCTCTTAGCCTTGGCTTTTTTTTTTGGAAATTCTGGGGATGGGGAGCTCTGGGTAGCAGCGGCTTGAGACCAGTGTTCAGCGCCCTTTCAAATTTACCATAAGTGAAGTGGAGGCAGAGGGGTGAAATGAATGAAGCCTAGTGCACACATTCCCCCTCTACTTTCCCACAAAAGTGTCTAAAACTGGAAAGATCTGCTAAATGCTTGGAATGAAAAGAAAAGATGCCTAAAGCATGTTGGTTAAGCACTAGGAGAATATTTGGCGCAGGGGGGATTCTTGTTTTTTTTTTTAAATCTTCTGGAAAGGGTGGGTGGCAGCCCTCCCCCACAGCCTCTGCAGTGAAGACTCAGCTCCATACAAATACCTGGATAGGTGCCTGAAAATCTAAGTCTTAGGTCTAATCCCAAAACACAGAAAATGTGTGACTAGTTGGTGAAGCCATCGGTGTTGACCACAAATTGGGAACTAGCCAGGATGCCTCAGCATACCTGGGTATATGCTTTGAGTGTGGTGAGGGATAGGCTAAACTATTTGTGAATTCCACTCAGAAATTGCTTTTCTTTGCAATTCTCAGCAACTTCAGACCCCAATAGAAAAGTGTATGTGGAAGGAACTCTGAATGGAGTTGAGTATTTCACAGTGGTACTGTTTCTCAATTTGTTGGTGCCAAATTAACTCCTGGCCAGTGGGCAATTACTGAAAAATGCACTTTCTTGTTTTTCAGATCACAGCTCTTAAAATTAAATACAATCCATTTGCAAAAGCTTTCCTCGATGCAAAGGAAAGGTGAGAGAATTCTAACTCTACCCCTTGGGCAAAGAACCCTGTGGAAAGATGACAGCTGTACACCCTGTCTTCCCTTGGCTCTCTCTTTTGACACTTCCATGCAATTTCTTGGCAGAAGCGATCACAAAGACATGATGGAAGAATCTGGGGACAGTCAGCAGCCTGGGTACTCCCAATGTACGGTTTGTTGCACCCTGCGTCTGCCTGTCCCTCCTCCTCCATGCACCTTGTTTCAGGCCTGGAACTGCTGACAGTAGAAGAGAGGGAAGTTGTAGGGGTCCAGGGAGGTGGGTGGGGAGCAGACCCACCCTTCTCTGTGGAGAGAGAACTGGGCTGGGAAGTTGCCCTATGGCCTTCAGCCTGCTCCCCAACTACAGATGGTCACCCAGCCTGGGGAGAACTCCCCAGGGTCCTTTTGTTTTACTTTGATGTCACTGGGCTGTAGTAGGGCCTGTGGTGGACAATTGGGACCTTGATGGGAGTTTAGACTTGGGCATGAGGAGAGTCCAGCTCATTATGTCCTTGGAGATGGTTTATACTTTGGGTAGCGGTTGGAAACTGAGGGGTCATCATGAGGTGACGTGAATGAGAGAGTTTTCCCCTCCATCCTCTGGGTCCTGGGGATGGATCATCAAAGCATTGATTTCGGGTGGAAACTGGCTTGTGAGATGGCTAGTTCTGCTTTAAGTCTGACTTCCTTCAGGAGTTCTGTAAGTTGGAGCAAGGGGTACAGGTCAGGATGATAACATGCATGAAGAGAAGGTGCCCATCTAGCCCTTCCTCTACCTGCAAGGAGAGACATGGGATAAGAAAGTCAGTGCTTGTTGGTCACCTCAAAGGCTGCATGAAGGGGCATAGGTTCTTCTCAAGCCATTGTCTCTTCTGCGCTAAACTGACAGTGAATTTAGCAAACTGGTCTCCCATGGTGGCTCCTGGACAGCCCTTCTGAGGAGCGAAGAGAACAGAGCTCAGGGGAGGGGAGGGTACACAGTGGGCACCTCGCTCTCTTCCCTCACTTCTGTGTTGTCTGAAGAATTGTTCATTTGGAAACTGGAGCAGGGTAGCTGTCTCCCCATGGGTTGCTTTTACAAAATTTAGAAAAGAAAAAAATTTTAAAAAGAAAAAGGTTTTTTTTTTAAAAAAGGAAATTGGAGTTTTCGAGGTGGGTAAGACAGTCTTGGAGCAGTTTTCTGACCAGAAGTGTGGAGAATGTGGGGAGACTTGGAAATGAAGGCACAAGGCAGTAAGCAAAGCAGGAAATGGGTCCCCCTCCCCCTAAGAGGGATCAAACATAATTGGGTGGGGGGGGAGCACCCTCTCCCTTGTTCCCTGCCTTGTATCCTGCTCAGCCTATGGAAAGTCACCTGGAGCAAGGAAAGAGCTGGGGAGGCTGGCGAGGATCTTAGCATGGATCAGGCTCTCTTGCGGGCACCCCAGGGGTTTGAAACCTTGCTAATCTATGGCATTAAGCTTGGGGCACAGGGCCTGTGATGCCTTGGGATATAGATGCAGCCAGTGTGCTAGGATTCTTCACTTCTCAGGCGCTGCTAAGGAAAAGATGCAGAATCCTGGCTCTCGGGCTCTCCCTCACTGTCCTTCCTGCAAATAACAGAGCCAAGGCAGAGCCAGCCACTGAGCATTCTTTTCTCACAGCAGGGGGGTGGCTTATTCCTGGAACCAGCACCCTCTGTCCACCGGCCAGCCCCCACCCTCAGTTTGGAGGCCCCCTCTCTCTGCCTCCCACGCACGGCTGTGAAAGGTACCCATCCCTGAGGAACCACCGCTCATCTCCGTACCCCAACCCGTACGCACACCGGAACAATTCTCCAAGTAGGTTTGATTGTAAGCTTGTGGGGGATGGCGGGTGGCTGAGAGACCCATTCTGGAGAGGCCTTCTGCAGGGGTCCAGAAGGGAAGGGAGACCCTCTTGAGCCCAGTTCTCAGTGCTTCCAGAGGAGGCCTGAACCAGGGGCTTGCAGCATCCAGCACGCCTCAGTTAGCAAGACCCTATCTTAAAGAACAGCCAGGGTGTGGTGATAAGTACCTGTAAACTCAGTTAGGCAGGAGGTATAGGTAGGAAGGTCAGAGAGTAGCCTGAGACTCTGTCTGGGCTGGGGAGCATGGGTAGTACTTGCCTAGCAAGCTCAAGACCCTGAATTTAAACTCCAGTACCACCAAATAAATTAATAAATACATGAAAGGAAGATTTCTGGGCCTCACCCCTGAACTTCAGGTCCATCTTCAGGGTGGAACCCAGGTTTATATGTTTTATGACTACTTTAAAGTGATCAGGTTGAATCAGACAGGCACAAGAATTCCCATCTGGACCAGTGGTTCTCCAAGTGTGGTATCCAGACCTGAAGCATCAGTGTGGATTGAGAACTGGCCAAGTCTCAGGCCCCACCAGACCCTCCCGAGGCAGGGCCAGGCAGCTGTCTAGGTGATCTGTGTGTTCTGACGCAGGCACAGCCAGTGAAGGGCCCCGGCTAAGTCTGACATTCTGTATACTCAGACTGACTTTTGTCCACTCCAGAGGAGGAGAACACCTTAAAAACACCATAAAGCAATTAAGCAATTACGGCGGATTTGAAGTGAAATGAAAGAAGTCTCGGGACTTGTTCGGCCAGAGGCTAGACTCTGAAGTGGGAAGGCCATGTTTTTAATTTGCCTGGAAAAGGCAGGTTAAAGTTACATTTATTTTTGTTTTTCAAGATAAGCAGTCTGGGCTGGGGTGTAGTTTGGCAGAGTGGCTGCCTAGCATGTGGGAGGCTCTGAGCTCCATCCCCAACACTGGGAAAAATTAAAAAAGTAATCCCCAATTAAATGACTGTAGGAATTAGTTTCTGCAGGGCAGCTGCTGATCTGATTAATAAAGGAGAAGCGAATAAAGGAATATAGTTACAACTCGTTACATTTGGCAATAATTCTGCCCTGACGACCACTTGAGCAAGTTTATGGATTATTTTCTATATTTAACGTCCCCTAGACCATTCGTTTTCAATGTCATGTAGTTGCTTTTCACAGCATTTTCTTGCCCTTGGAAGACCCCATCCACTAACCGCACGGTCCTACATCCTTAGCCTATTCTGAGAATTCGTCTGCGTGCTTATCCATGCTGCAACCCCATGACAACTGGTCCAGCCTTGGGGTGCCTGCTCCCCCCAGCATGCTTCCCGTGAGTCACAACGCCAGCCCATCCACTGGCTCTAGGTATGTTTGTCTGGGACCCCAAGACGGCTCTGTTTCTGTTGGTTTTTTTCTCCTCATTTTACTGTGTGCCCGTGGGTGGTTGGGTTTTTATTTATGATCTGTCCTTAGCAGAATGTGTCCAAAGATGACTGGTTCCAGGACTGCCCAGCTCCTGCTTATACTCTGTTCAGGGTTTGATGTCATTGCGCTCAGAAGCCCTCTCATCAGCCAGACAACCTGCAGGTTGCTGACCAGGGCTACCTGAGGGTGTCATTGTGGCTGTGACAGGGCCTCTCGGAGCCTGGACCCGCCATCTGTAAAATGGGATAGTAATCTGACTTGATTAACTCTGGACTTTCATAAAGGTCAAGTGCAATTGAAATTTGGGATATGGGTTGGCACACAATACAGCAACGTAACACAAGGTCTCCCTACTTATTTGCAGAGCTCTGAAGAAGTTTTCCCCAAACAAAATCTTACCAGAGTTTAATACTGTTCACTCTTTTCGTGTGGTAATTAGGATGGAGCCCAGGGCCTCAAGCTTGCTAGGCCAGCACGCTACTACTTGAGCCTTGAGCCATGCCCTCCGTCCTTTTGTTTTGTTTGTAGTTTGCTTTTGGGATAGGGTCTTGCTACCTTTGCAAGGGCTGGCTTTGAACTCTTAATCTTCCTACCTCTGCCTCTCGAGTAACTGGATTACAGGTATGTACTGCCACACCCTGTGTACTTCTATGTGCTTAGACTCAAGGATTGAATACTCATTTCTAACATCCTCATTTTATATATTCAGAAACAGCCTGAAAGCTGTTGCAAGGTAGCTTGATGAAAAGCTGAAGCCAGGTGACTGTGGCTTATGCCTGTAATCCTAGCTACTCAGGAGGCAGAGATCTGCATGAGCTGTGTTTATGCAAATCGGCCTGTTAGTTTGCTTCTTAATGGTTTCTTCTTAATAGATGTGACACTAACTTCTGTACACCTCAGAATGGGCTTGTGAGCCGGGTAGTAAATCTACATGACCTTTTTGAAAAGTGCTGCATTGCAGTTAGATTCTGAGCCTCAGTCTCCCCCTGCAGCTGACTGGGACCCTCCTCCCCACACCAGGCCTTGACCTCTGTGTTTTTCTGTTTCAGCCAGTACCCCAGCCTGTGGTCTGTGAGCAACGGCTCCATCACGCCAGGCTCCCAGACAGCCGGGGTGTCCAACGGACTCGGAGCCCAGTTCTTCCGAGGCTCCCCCGCACACTATGCACCCCTGACCCATGCTGTCTCTGCCACCTCATCCTCAGGCTCCCCTCTGTACGAGGGGGCTGCGGCAGTCACAGACATTCCCGACAGCCAGTATGATGTCTCGGGCCAAGGCCGCCTCATAACCTCATGGACACCTGTGTCACCTCCATCCATGTGAACTTCAAATCGGGGAGGAGCATGGGCTCCCCAGTCTGTAATAGCGGTGCGCCTGCTCCAGGTGGACCCAAGTTCAGAGGTGGTGCTGTTGAGCCAGTGCCCCCGATCTAGTCACAAACCCGCCTCCCAAACCCTTGTGTCTGACTGTCTTCGAGCACATAGGGGATGTGGTCCACTGGAATTTGTAAACTCTACTGATCCTACGTTAGTGACACATGACAGACACTTTTAATTTCCTTCTGTGTTGCTTTTGAGTAGTTAGTCGGGCTGTTAAGGACAGAATAAAAATCATAGTGAGGGACTGGAGGTGTGGCTCAAGTGGTAGAGCACCTGCTTTACAATCCTGAAACTGAGTTCAAATCCCAGTCCCACCAAAAAAAAAAAAAAAAAAAAGCAAAAAATCATAGGGAGGACAGCAGATTTTAGTTGAACTGGAAATTTGACTCCTCTGCCTACTAGCAGGTGTTTAATTTGAGCATATATAGCTTCTCAGATTGTGAGATCAACTATTTTATATATTTTTCTTTTGACAAAGTAGCCAAAGACAATCAGCAAGAAGCATTTTCTGTGAAATAAAGGCAGTATGCAGCATTTGGTTGGTGTGTTATCACTTAAGCCCCGCCTCTTTGGGGTGGGGGTGGGGGTGGTGGGGAAGGTGCTGCTAGTAGCTGGCAGGAGAGAACTTTAACACTGTATCTGACCAGTTGCAGAACTGGAAGTGGAGTTCTTGTAACTTAGCCACTGCTAAATGACACAAAAAATGAAACCACACTCAGTGATTTTCCAGAAGCTTAAATAATGTTGGATTACAGGTGGATGGAAAAATTAATACAGGAAATCCACCCAGGAGAGGGAAGCACATCAAATGAGTTGACTGGTGTGAAGTGCAGCTGCCATGGTAACTTGAACGCTGGCATTGATGACATCCCTTGCCACCTTTCCTGCTGTTTGTTCCCAGCAGTGGGACAGAGCTGGTGAGGTACTGGGCTGGGGCAATTTCTCCACCTAGTGGCAGAACCCTCCTTCCTGCAAATATTACAAACCCCTGCTTCCTAAAACCCTTCAATGGCCCCTCGGCCAGGGTCAGAGTGGCGCTGAGTATATGGTCATTAGAGGTGAAGCTGGGGCGCAGCTCAGCGGGAGAGCGTGTGGCTAGCGTGCACATGGCCCTGAGGGAACTCCCAACGCTGTAGGAAAGGCCATTCTTCCAGACTCCACTGCGCACCCCTGCTCTGCCCTCCTCAGACTGCTTTATCCCGACACCCCGTGGTGTGCAGTGCCTTCCGTGTCTTCTTGAGGAGAAACCTAGAATTTCAGCGGAAATGCTGGCTGTTTAGTGTAATTCGTGTCTGCCTTCTCAGCGAGATGTGCTTGCTGCAAATTACCATTTGTGACTGCTCACGGTGAAACAACCCCATCACAAAATTTGCTGACAATTACATTGGAGGAATATTTTTATGAATAAACCAAGCCCAAACTTGTCCTGCAGAATTAGGAGAAGAAAACTGGCCCCACTGACTAGACAGACCCTTGGTCCTCACCATAGCAGGTGCTGGGTCTGCTGGAAAGGCTTCAGGGGCCGTTAAGGAAGGAGGCCAGGTGTCCCCCTGTGGTCTCCTTGTGTTAGGTGACTCCTGCCTTGTGATCACCTCCCTGACTACTCAGATGAGGACCATGGTTGGTGTCCTCTGGGTCCTCTTCAGAGCCTCGATAAGGTCAGTACTGAGGGACAAAGAGGAGCCTGTGGCCCTGGGGTACCAGGAGGCCACAGGCTATTTACTTGTTCCTGGAGCATGCCCCAAGGACATGGATCTGGGGCCACTGTGTCCTCTGGCCCTTTCTCAAAGGCCTTATATGCACGGCAAGTGGGGAAGTTTTACACACAGACAATGGATGGAGTCTTGACTTAAAGTTTCTAACGGTGTCCAGAGTTTAAATTCAGAGAAATAATGTTTGGATAATCCAGACTTTCTGGTGGGGGGCAGTAGGGACACTGAAGATGTGTCATGAATTTGATATGAAAGACCTGGGTTTGAATTCAGTAATTCTCCCTCATCCACAGGGGGTATGTTCTAAGACCCACAGTGGATGCCTGACACTAGGGGTGGTACCCAATCCTGGATCTCTGTGTTTTCCTCTCTACTTGCATACATTAATCAATTGAGCATAGCAAGAGATTGACAAAAATCACTAATAATTAAATAGAACAGTTGTCATGAAGTACTGTGATAAAATTGTCAGCATCACTACTCTTGTGCTTTGGGGTCATTAGTAAGACAAGGGTCATCAAATAAAGTGCTATGATAACAAAGATGCTTACTGATGACCAACAGGTAGTGTCCAGCACAAGTGGGCTGGATGGAAGGAATAGTAGGATGGAGCAGTCAGTGCCAGATTTCATCACACACCTCAGAACGGTGCACAGTTTAAAACTTAGCAATAGTTTATCTCTTGGAATTTTTTATTTAATATTTTTGAACTGAGATTGACCTTGGGTAACTGAAATTGCAGAGAGTGGAGTTGAGGAAGGTAGAGAAGAGCTATGTTTTCTGCTGCAAGTTCTCCCTCCAGAACTCAATCTCCTCACCTACGTACTTTTCCTTACATAAAACTGGAGAGAGTATTTTTCTGTTAGGGTGCTTGTGAGAAACAAGAGAAAATGATGTTGGGAAGGGGGCAGAAACAGTCAGACGTGCTCTGAGTCAGTAAAATGAATATTAATCACAAATTCAGCTCCATGTAGAGAGCCTTGTAGGAAGACATTGCTGCACGTTGAGGAGGTCCAGGCGAGCTCCCATCCACCTGTCCCTGGAATGCATCCCTGTCACGCGATGACCTGCTTCTCTACCGAGATTCCTTAAGAATGAATCCTACAATCTGAGCTCTGCGTCCTTGGGGTTGTAATGGAACTGAAGGGCAGTCTTCAGACTTCAGCGATCATAGAAAGTGCTCATTTTACTCTATCCTTTTGCTTTGGGAGAAGACGTGGTAGATTTTTCTATTAGAAAAATCACATGGATTTAAAAGATGGATGTTTTAAAACTATTTTTCTTCTAATTAACACACATTAATTGTACAGACAATGGGGGTCACTGTGATATTTCCATAATGCACACATCACGTGTGACCATGCCCATCTGCCCATCTTCTACCCAGGACCTCTTCCCCTCCCCATCCTGGCACCCTTCCCAGTCCCTATCAAGCCCTTCTCAGTTTCTTTCTGCCCCCTCCCCCGTCTCTAACACCTACTCTCTGTCCCATACTTCTACAACTTGACTTTTTGGTTTTCTTAAGTGAGTGGGAACACGTGCTGTGTGTCTTTCTGTGTCTGGCTCGTTGTAGTCCATCCATGGTGCTGCACAAGAGGATGTCACTCTTTTTCATGGCTGGGTGTGTTTCAGCATGTAAGTGGGCCATGTGCTCTTCATCCATTCACCCACTAAAGGCATCTGGGTTGGTGCTTGTGAACTGTGCCGCGTAAAACTCCGAGGCTCAAGTATCTTTTAGGATAAAGATTCCATCTCCTTTGGAATCTGCCGCTCAGTGGCCGAATGCTGGATCTTCTGTTATTTTTAGTTTTAGTTTTGTGAGGAGTCTCTGTAAGGTTTTCCACTGTGGCTGAAGTGATTGGCCTTCCCATCAGCTGTGTACAGAGTGCCCATCTCTCCACATTCTCGCCAGCACTTGTTACTCCTCTTTCTGATGCTGGCCACTCTAACTTGGGTGGAGAGGTGTCTCACTGTGGCTTTGATTAGCATTTCTCTGACAGTTAGTAAAACTGAGCATTTTCTTGGTCATTTGCACCCCTTCTTTTGAGAAGCATGTTTAGTTCTTTGGGCTGTTTTTGAATCAGATTGTGTGTGTTCTTGTTTTTGAGGTCCTCATATACCTGGTTGCCAATCCCTCGTCGGTGTCCTGCCCACAGACATTTTCCCCATATACGGTCATCTCCTGCTGGGGTCCCTCTGCTGTGCGGATCTGCTTCATTCATCACCCCATTTACTATGTTAACTTTTGTTGTCTGTGCTTTTGGGGTTCTTTCCCTCAAACCCCTGCCTGCACAATGTCTTGAAGTGTTTCCCCTATGTTTTCTTGTGGTAATTTCATAGCTTCAGGTTTAAGATTTAGGTCTTTGATCCATTTTGGTGGATGGTTGTGTATGTTGAGAGAAAACACTCCAGAGGAATCCTTCTGCAGCTGCATTTAGTTTTTACCAGCTCCTTTTGTCTAAAAGATTGTCTTTTCTCCATAGTACGTTCTTACAATCGGCTGGTCGTATGAGCTTGGGTCAGTTTCTGGGTTCTCCTGTCCATTGGTCTATGTGTTTTTATGCCAGTAATGTGCTGTTTTAGTGACTACATCTTTGTAGTGTGTTTTGAAGTCAGGAATTACGCTGCTAGCATTTTTTCCCCTTTTGTTCAGGATTTCTTGGGTTATTCTTGAGTTATTCATTTGTGGTTCATATGACTCTTAGCACGTTTTTTCTATTTCTATGAATAAAGTCATTGGAATTTTGATGGGAATTACATTGAATCTGTAACTACCTTTGAGTAGTATTGTCACTTGATCAATATTGATTCCTCTGATTCACAAACATGGGCTATCTTTCCATTTTTCATGTCCTTTCTAATTTTTTTCATCCATATTTTCATAGTTTTTGTTGTAGGGATCATCCACTTTTTTGGCTAAGTTATTCCTAAATATCTTATTTTTGCAGTTACTGTGAACAGGATTGCTTTTTAAACTTTTTTTTTTAAGTTCTAACAAGTTTCTGATAGAATACTTAGATATTTCTACACATAGAATCATGTCATCTACCATGAGTCATTTAACTTCACCCTTTCCGATTTGGATGGCATTTCTTTCGTTCTTTGCTTTTGCTAAGACTTTCAGGAGTAGACTGAATAACAATGGTGCTCCTGATCTTACACAAAGCACCTTTGCCTTTCCCCCATTCAGTGTGACACCCATGCTTAGGTGTGTTCCTCTGTGCCTCCTCTGTGG